GGGATTCCTGGGACCCACGTGGAAGCTTACAACCGTCTAAAAGTCCAGCTCCAGGGGATCAAAAAAGGATTCTAGCCTTTGCAGGCACCAGTCATGTATGCCGGCAGGATATCCATAGACATAAAAATAAATAAAACATAAGAAAAAAACAGACTTAAAAATAATAACCTGTAGTGACATTTTTGAGAATCCTGAAATTTTGGTTTCTTTAAAAGACACAAATATTTTCAGAATGTGCTTTGTTTTAATCTCAGGTTTAGGGACGTGGGGCTGCTTCGGATTCTGCAGCAGCTGACTATAATTTGCTTCATGCTCTAGCAGAGGAGAGGTTTTTCCAGCTGCAGATAATTTTTGCAAATGCGTGGCATTTGGAATTCTGGGAGCTTTTCAGAGGGTACATAAATGCTAGGGTCCTGAGCAGTGGGTGGTTGCTGTTGGTCCTTTAAGGCTCCAGTGGTCAAAGAAGAAACCAAAGGTAAGAAATTAGATTCAGGGATTTTCCTAATTCCTCTCTCCCCTCTATCCTATTAAGGGTATGTGTGTGAAAGGTGGAAAAAAGAAATATGTCCTTAAAGTTAGTCAAACAGGATGGTTCAGTATGTAAAGGCATTTGCTGCTAAACCCAAGGCCTGAGTTTGAATCCTGGAACCTATATTGTGGAAAGAGAAAATCACCTCTGACCTCCACATGCATACTTGCCTCTCATATACAAAATAAATAATTCTTTTTACAAGTCCTAAACATGTAAAGAAATGCATTGTACAGGTAAGTATCAGACTCAGGAAAATGATTCTCTCTGAATTTGAAACTGGAGATGTTAGAGAAGACATTTCTTCCTATAGATAAGTACAGTTTCTAGGAAGAGTGGTATAGAAAAATTATATTCATCTTCATATCCTTTTGTATGAATGAGGGAATTACCATTGTAGCTTTGTTTCAGAAAGGTTATATTTCAGAAATATTGTCTGCTAATTCTTTTTAATTTAAAAGGGTCATAAAAGACATTTAATTCATCCATTTTCTTTTATAACTTGAGACACTGAAAGTTATAAAACTGGATAATGTTCTGGTTTTAAGAAACAGTTAGACCAGAAATCAGGTTTCCTGTTTATTTATGTCACGGTCTTCTTAAGGAAGGAAGTGGTGAACACCAAGATCAGCTTTGAACCTTTAAGCCAATTTATTTTTTGTTAAATTTATTTGATTGGTATAGTTATGGTTTACTGTTTTTGTTTTGTTTTGTTTTGTTTTGAGACAGGGTCTCTCTTGTCATGAAGATCAGGCTGGCCTGGAACTCAGAGACCCTCCTGTTTCTGCCTTTGGAATGCTGGGATTAAAGGAGTGTGCCACCTTGCCTAGCCTTAGTTTACTATTTATTGTAGTAAATCAATGAAATCTTACAAAAAGCATCGAGAAGCTGGAGAGATGCTGTTGATACTAAGCACGGTTAGGCAAGTTCTTTGGTGGTTTAACAACCATGCTAAGGGCCCATCAAGATGGCTACTCATCAAGTGGGTAGACACTTGCAGAGGAGTCTAACGATTTGAGTCTAACACCTGGAACCTACATGGTAGGAGAGAATATATTTACTCACATTGTTTTCTGACCTCAACTTATACAGCATGTCAGTTATGATGGGTATGGGCTCCATGCTTTTTTTTTTCTCAAGACAGGGCCTTGAGTGATCTTCCTGTTTCAGCCCTCCCATATGCTGGTAAAGCTCTATTTTTTAAGCCATGTTGTGTTGGACATATTTATATTGAGGCTTTGTTTTAAAAAGTTATTTATGTCTTGACATAGTGGCACACACATTTAATCCAATCATAAGGCAAAGGCAGGTGGGTCTTTGTGAGTTCGAGTCCAGCCTGGTCTACATAGTGAGTTCCAGGACAACCAGAGCTATAAGACCTTGTCTTGAAAAAACAAACAAAATCATTTATGTGTATGGGTGTTTTGTGTTTGGTTTTGGGACAAGAGACTGAGGTGCATATTTTACATATCAAAGCAGTCCTAGTCTTAAGGTTCTCCTAGCTTCCCTCAGTATCTACCCTGCCTCACTTCCCCCAGAGGCTCTTCTATATATAATCCAGACAATTTGGTCTCCTTACTCTCCTCCTCTTCTCTCTGTCCACTCTCTCACCCATTCTTTCTCTCTCTCCCTCTCCCTCTCCCTCCACCTCTCTCTCTCTCTCTCTCTCTTTTGCTCACTTGCTCGCTCTCTCTTGCATGCACGTGCTTGTTTCCCTCGCCTCGGTCCTTGGGGCCAGTGAACTGGATGGAAAGCATCTTCCCAATAAACCTGCATTTAATATCATCTAATCTGGCTTGAATTGACTCATCTCACTGTAGACAGAGAAATAACTATCATTTTTGCTTGTGTGTATGTCTGTGTATCACTTGTGTACAGTGCCCTTGGAGGCCAGAAGAGAGTATTGGATTACCTGGAATTGGAGTTACAGATAGGTGTGAGCCCACCATGTGGGTGCTAGGAATCAAACCTGGGTCTTCTGAAAGAGAAGCTAATGATTTTAACCACAGAATTGTTCCTCCAGTCTCCTTATTGAGGCTTGAGATGAAGACAAAATTATGTTGATAAATACTTTGAAAAATAAAAAAGGGAAAAGGCTAACCTTTTGGCCTGCAGCAAGGATGACAGCAGCTTATCCTTAACTGGACTTACTACATGTTCTTTCCTGACACAATCAGACTCCTAGACCAGTTTCCGGGTCTTACCTTTTAAAAAAAAAAAAACAAAAAACAAAAAACCAAAAACTTAGGTTTAAGACAAATGCCTTTCCTTTTTGTTGTTTGTTTGTTTGTTTCTGAGACAGGGTTTCTCTGTATAGCTCTGGCTGTCCTGGAACTCACTCTGTAGACCAGGCTGGCCTTGAACTCAGAAATCCTTCTGCCTCTGCCTCCCAAGTGCTGGGATTAAAGGCAAATGCCTTTCTTTATCTGCTGAGTTAGCTGAGTGACCTTCAGGTCCTTTTTTATTTTTTTTTATTTTTTATTTTTTTGGAAGCCTTTAGATCAGTGCTTCTCAACTTGTGGGTTGAGACCTTTTTGAGGAGGTCAAATAACCCTTTCACGGGGGTTGCATATCAGATATCCTGCATATTAGATATTTGCATTATGATTCATAACAGTAGGTAAATCACAGTTATGAAGTAGCAATGAGATAATTTTATAGTTGGGAGTCACCACAGCATGAGGAACTGTATTAAAGGGTCGCTCGCAGCTTTAGGAAGGCTGAGAACCACTGCCCTATATTGCTCATTTTTTAAAAATCAGAATTGCATGAAGGGATTATAAAGCCAAGATTCCAGGAGACAGTAGGAAGGAATCTAAATTAGCCAGATACTTTTAAAAGATAGAAAATAAATTCCTGTTGGGAAATAATTATTTTGAGAGTGGATCTCATGATATAGCTCTTGTGGGCCTGAAAGTTTTTATGTCAGTCATGGTGGGTGGGTCATGCTTGTATTCCCAGAATTTGGCAGGCAGAGAACTGACTCTAATTCCAGACAGCTTGCATTATATCATACATTACAGGCTGTCAGGACTGCAAAATGTGACTGACCCTGTCTCCAAAACAGAAGAGAACCAAAGCAAACCAACCAAACAAAAGTGGTTGCAAAAAGAGAGACAGGGGAATATGTGACTGGGATTTGCCTGCAAGTGCCCTTCCCCCTCTTCTGAGGAAACTGTGTTGACTTCAAGCTCATTGTCAGCAACTGTAGAAAGAGAATCACCTCCTCACTCCTTCAAAGAACTCGGAATCGTCCAGCGGGGAAAGGTTATAAGCAGGAACTGGGAGAGTGGCACAAGACTTTATACCCAGCAGTAGGGAAGCAGAAGCACACAGATCTCTTGAGTTTCCAGGTCAGCCTGGTCTACATAGGGCGTTCCAGGACAGCCAGAGCTACATAGTAAGACGTTGTCTAGAACAAAACAAACCGGGTAATGTTTACATTGGAAATAAGGAATTTGTATTGTATTCCAAAACGCCCAACTAAATCATTCGCCCAACTAATAAGTTCGTAGTAGTGAACGTGCAATGTGTGCACGGGAGCCCAAGGTCCCATTTATATATATATATATGAATGCATCTGTTTCTGGGATCAACATCTCAACATAAACAAATTCTTGTCCAGAAAATAACGACCAGGGTAGTAAGGTGGCTTATTGACATGTTGAAAAAATAGCCCGGCAGTGGTAGCGCACGCCTTTAATCCCAGCACTTGGGAGGCAGAGGCAGGCAGATTTCTGAGTTCAAGGCCAGCCTGGTCTACAGAGTGAGTACCAGGACAGCCAGGGCTACACAGAGAAACCCTGTCTCGAAAAACAAACAAACAAACAAACAAAAAAGTTAAAGGATCGGGAAGGTTTAGCTTGTAGGGAAATGAGAGGATTAGGGATGGGATACGTTAGTTGTCTTCAAATAGCGGGGTAGTAGAGGCACAACTTTAATTCTAGCACTCTGAATAAAGGCAAAGGAAAACCAGGGAGAAATAGAGAGACCCTGTCTCAAAAACCAAATGGCACGTACAGAGGTTGAAGAAAATCCCTCTTATTTTTTTTTTTTTTTTTTGGTTTTTCGAGACAGGATTTCTCTGTATAGCCCTGGCTGTCCTGGAACTCTGTAGACCAGGCCGGCCTCGAACTCAGAAATCCGCCTGCTTCTGCCCCCTCTTCTTTTTCAAAACCTCTATATGCAAGGCATGGTGTAGCAAGCCTTAAATTCCAGTACTCAGGAGGCGGCCTGGTTTACATAGTGAGTTCCAGGACAGCCAGAGCTACACAGAGAATCCTTGTCTCGAAAGTAAAATAAAATCGAAAATCTCCAGCGGACACCGCCTTTGACTGGAAGTTCTCTTCCCGGACTAGCATGTACTCGATGGTAGATTCTTCAGCCCTTCTAGCTCTCTAGTCCTCCAGGGTCCCCTCTATGGTTTCCCCGGCCTCCCCGGAAGCTCTTGCGAACGCTGGGTTTGAGAGGCCGGAAGTGGTGCTGCCGTTGCTCGCAGTTTCAAAATGCTGTACAGGCCTTAGGATCTACAACTGCCACCCCTCCCCCAGCTAGGAGGGGGGAGCGACTCATGGAGCGGCCGTAAGGTGTGGCGGTGGGGTCTGACCCGCGGGGTGCGGGGGGAGCGGACAGAAGGCCCTGAGGACTCGTAGCTGAGAACCGGGCGGGAGGAGCCTGGGGCGCGGAGGGCGGCGTGGGCCGCGGGGCCGTGGGGCCGCGGGACCGCGGAAGAAGCTGTGGGGGAAGGGTGGCGTTTCGACCCCACGGTTGAGAAAAATGGAGTGTGGTGAAACGGAGTTTCAGTAACAGACTAAAAGCAAAGTGAATGGGTTGATGCTTTATTTGCACTTCCACTTTGAGGGGGTGTTGAGGCACTTTGAAGGAAAGGAGTCGGAGAAATGGAGACCTGGAGAGTGACATTGACGAGACTTAAGATTTAAATAATTTTTTTTTTTTTTTTTTGGTTTTTCGAGACAGGGTTTCTCTGTATAGCCCTGGCTGTCCTGGAACTCACTCTGTAGACCAGGCTGGCCTCGAACTCAGAAATCCGCCTGCCTCTGCCTCCCAAGTGCTGGGATTAAAGGCGTGCGCCACCACCGCCCGGCTAGATTTAAATAATTTTTAAGGCTGCAGACTGACTGCTTTAGTATGTGAAAGATACTCGTTTGCGGTCTTCATATGGACCTCGGCATTTAAAGTATTTTAAAAAAAATATCCTCCACGAATATGAAAAATTATTATTATTATTATTAATTTTGAGACAGGATCTCGCTGTGGCCAGACCTGGCTAACCTGGAGCTTGCTGTATAGGCCAGGCGGGGTTTGAATTTACAAAGAGTCATCTCATCTGCCCCTGCCCCCAAAACAGTCCGCTCCTTTGCCTCTCCGGGACCACGAATATTATCTTTAATTAGCACACCTCCCAGTGATTCTTTTACATCCCCAAATTTTGACACCACTCTTATTAAGCCACATCTGGATAAAACATAACCTGTCTTGTCCTACTCAAGAAAGGTCTTTGTGGATTAGAAAGCTCCACCTAATGACAGGCACGGGATGTGTCTGTCAAAGGTACCTAGCGTTTAGTAATACTGAGTGTCAGTTGCTGATATCTATCCAAGTTTAGTCTCCTCCTTCATACATTTCTGCTAGAAAAAAGTTTTTTAGCTCCAAAGTATTATTTACAGTATTCATTTACTGTACTGGTCAAGACCACAACACGACTCCTGTTTGAAAAATTGTGAACATGTAAAGTTGACAGCCAGTGTCCCTAACCCCTCAGGCTTCCTAATGTTCTAATCCCTGGGGTCTTTCCTGACTTGAGCTATATATATTCTCAGATTTAAACCATAGAGGAATCATTTTGCAGGGATTATTCACCTTAAACTTTTCAGATAACAGCAACTTTCTTTAAGATATACTTTAGCTGAGTCCTCATTGGTTGTACTTTTAGATTTTCTCTGGATAACCTGAAGCAGCCCCATATCCTGGTTCACCTTTAACCTTCAAGTATAAGGGTAAACAGCATTCTCTTAACAGTCATTAATACGCACTGTGGTGGGTTTTTTTTTTTTTTTTTTGTTTTTTAGGTTTTTCGAGACAGTGTTTCCCTGTGTAGCCCTGGCTGTCCTGGAACAACTCACTCTGTAGACCAGGCTGGCCTCGAACTCAGAAATCCACCTGCCTCTGCCTCCCAAGTGCTGGGATTAAAGGGATGCACCACCACTGCCTGGTGTGTTTCTAGTTCTTTATTTTATTCTGTATATTTTATTTAATATTTTCTTGCTATCACAAGTAGACTTTTAAAACGAAATTTATTTTTATTGTATGCGTATAGAAGTTTTGCCTGTATGTACTGTGTGTATGTGTACTGTGTGTGGACAGTGCCCACAGAGGCCAGAAGAAGGCATCAGGTCCTCTGGGACAGGAGTTACAGATGGTTGTTACCTGCCGTGTGGGTGCTGACAACTGAGCTTAGGTCCTCTGCAAGAGCAAGTGCTCTTAATTTTTGAATCATCTCTCCAGCTACTCAAATGGGATTTTTAAGAAGTTTGGCTATCTAGGAGGCTAAGTCCTTCCCTTCTTGTTCTTTTGGAAGTGACTTGCTATTCTTAGCATCTTAACTTTTCCATATAAATTGTTAGCATTACGAGGTTCTAAAAAATCCCCAAAGCCAGGAGGGGTGATATATCCCTATAGTCTTAATCCTTAGGAAGTGGAGGCAGGAGAATCTCAGGTTCATGGTAGTCAAAGCTGACTTTGAAGTCAGTTCAAGGATGTAAGCTGCAGAATAAGGACCCCTAGCCCCTGCCTGAAAACAAACAACAAAAATTGAACAAGGAAAAGAAAACATTTAAAAAGTCTTGTTTTGATTTCTCCTCCTCCTCCTCCTCCTCCTCCTCCTCCTCCTCCTCCTCCTCCTTCTTCTTCTTCTCTTCTTCCTCCTCCTCCTCTTCCTCTTCCTCCTCCTTCTTCTTTTAATGAAATTATATTGAAAGTAGATCAGGGCCTGGAGAGATGGCTGAGAAGTTTAGAGTACTTACAAAAGAGGACCAGAATTTAGATCTGAGCACCCATGTTGCAACTACCTGTAATTCTAGGAGATTAGACACTTAATGTTCTGTTCCTGTGAAGAAGCACCATAACCAAAGCCACTCTTATAAAAGAAAACACTTAATTGGGGCCTTGCATATGGTTTTTCAGAGGCTTAGTCCATTATCATCTTGGAGGAGAGCAAGGTAGCACATAGACAGGCATTGTGCAGGAGAAGTAGCTGAGAGCCTTAGAGCCTGCCCCTTAGGTGGCAGGCAAAGGATGAGACCTAGCCCTGACTTGAAACCTCAAAGCCCACTCCCACTGATATACCTGCTCCAGCAAGGCTGGCGCATGCCTTTAATCTCAGATGCAGGTAGAAAACCCTGTCTTGAAAAAAAGAAGAGGAAGAAGAGGAGGAGGAGGAGGAAGAAGAAAAGAAAAAAAATTAGAGCAAAATTTAGGCTCAGTGAGTAAAGGTGCCTGTTGCAAGCCTGATCTGAATTCAGTCCCTAGAACCAATATGGTGGAAGGAGTGAACCATTCCACCAAGTTGTACTATTGACTCCCATATATGCACTATGGTACAAGCATTTCTCCTCAGCCCCATACATAAAATAAATGTATTAAAAATGTGGGCTGTGGAGAGATGGCTCAGAGGTTAAGAACACTGACTGTTCTTCCAGAGGTTCTGAGTTCAGTTCCCAGCAACCACATGGTGGCTTACAACCATCTGTAATGGAATCTGATGCTCTCTTCTGGTTTGTCTGAAGACATCTCTAGTGTACTCATATATATGTAATAAATCTTTAAAAAAAATAAAAATGTAAGTTAAAGTGATCTTGTAAAGGTCCATGATTCGCTGAAGAATGATACCCTGGACTCAAACACTATGTGAACACAAAGAGTGTTTTATTTGTAGAAGTCCAGCATGCTGGGGTCTCCCCATTACCAAGATAGACCCTGAAGTGAGCTTGCAGGCCCAATTTAAAGCACATTAGGGGAATAATGGGGTAGATGACCACTATCTTAACCTGTTGGGTCCATCTCTATAGAAATTCTAGAAGCATTACGGGATTGTGGGGTTGGAAACTATTGCTGACCCTTTGTCCTTACCTCAGAAGCTGTGGTGGGGCAGCTTCTGACTACTTGCCTGAAGCCTGGGGCATTTTTCAGTACTGACTTGTCTGGGCTTGTCTGGACCTGTCCAGTTCTTGGAAACAGATTTAGGCTTAGTCTCTGTAACTGTCACTTTGAAGCCTGTCATGGATCAGCCTATCTCTTCTCTCCCAATGTGAGAAGAATTAAGTGATTGCAGTGAAACAGTTATCTCCTGAATTACATACAATGTACTTTTTCCTTTTTTTTCTTTTTAAAGCAAGTAAGCCAATTACATATTTCTCTCTCTCTTTTTTTTAAGATTTATTTTATGTATATGAGTACACTGTAGCTGTCTTCAGACACACCAGAAGGGGGCATCAGATCCCATTACAGATGGTTGTGAGCCACCATGTGGTTGCTGGGAATTGAACTCAGGACCTCTGGAAGAGCAGTCAGTGCTCTTAACCTCTAAGCTATCTCTCCTTAATTATCTAAGCCTCAATTACATATTTCTTAGGACTCCACTTTGAGGAAAACAAAAGAACGAAACTATATTTGGGATGCTGAGAAGATCCTTGGAGCTGAATTATAGGCCATTGTAACCACCCCAGCCTTCATGGGTCCTGGGAATCAAGTTCTGCTCCTGTGGAGTAGGAGTGGTCACTCTTTGTAGATTTTTATATGTTTAAAAGTTCCAGTGTGTGATAGCAGAAGTATTTTTTTCTTGTTTTGATAAAAATGTTTTTTTTTCCGTTTGATTTTTCGAGACAGGGTTTCTCTGTATAGCCCTGGCTGTCCTGGAACTCACTCTGTAGACCAGGCTGGCCTCGAACTCAGAGATCCGCCTGCCTCTGCCTCCCAAGTGCTGGGATTAAAGGCGTGCGCCACCACTGCCTGGCTAGAAATGTATTTTTAAAGATTTTTTTTTTTTTGGAGAGGGTCTTAACCGTGAACCTCAGGCTGGCTTTGAACTCTTGATAGGTGCCCTCCTAAGTTCTGCGATTGCCAGTGTGTCCTACCACAATTACCAGGCAAACTTTGACACTCATTTTCCTGTGGTTTCTTGTCCAGGCATGTTAGACTGTGGTCTTGGAAACTCCATGATTTTCCAGTTGTGGGTGTCTCCTAACTCTTATCTTAATCACTCCTGTCTACCAGGTAGCCTGTAGGAAAGCAGTGGTTGGTTGTAAATTTGACTTTCAGCTAGGAACAATGTACTTATTAGCATCGGCATTGAAGATGAAACTTGTCCAAACCTGTCTTTCAGAATTCACCTGAGGGAGAAGTGGGTGCTTTAATCTTTAGCTTTTGTGCTGGATTTGATTATTGAGAATTTCAGTTCTGTGTGAGTAGTTTGCATCTGTGCAGGTGTGTGTATGTCTCAGATTTAAAAAAAAATGTTGCTGGCAGTTTTGTCTTTTTTATTCTGTTTTGGAGGTAGGTTCTCTATATAGGCTGTGTAGAACAGGCTGCTCTTGAACTCCTAAAGATCCACTTGGCCTCTGCCTCCTGTGTGCTGGTATTCAGGTGTATGCCACCATGCTCAGCTTGCTACTTTTTCTTTTCTTTCTTCTTTTTTTTTTTTCTTAAGAATTACTAATGAATTTATGTATATGAGTACACTGTAGTTGTCTTCAGACACACCAGAAGAGGGAATTGGATTCCATTACAGATGGTTGTGAAACGTCATGTGGTTGCTGGGAATGGAACTCAGGACCTCTGAAAGAGCAGTCAGTGCTCTTAATCTCATAGCTATCTCTCCAGCCCTTTTCTTTTCCTTTTAAAATCTTTTTTTTTTTTTTATGTGCATTGGTGTTTTGCCTGCATGTGTGAGGGAGTCAGATCTACTAGAATCTGGAGTTGCAGACAGTTGTGAGCTGCAATGTGAGTGCTGGGAATTGAACCTAGGTCCTCTGGAAGAGTAGCCAGTGCTCTTTATTGATGAGCCATCTCTCTAGCCCTCAGCTTATTTCTTAGTAAATGCTAAAGACAAAATTTCAACTTTACAATTTTATATATGTTTTTCTCTTGTAGTTTGCTAACTGCGGAATCTTCACTGCCAAAATGACATCACGTTCCACCTCTGCCCAGTGTTCAGCATCTGACAGTGCTTGCAGAATTTCTTCAGAACAAATCAGTCAGGTAATTACTCCCAGACATCTTACTTTTCTTTAAATATTTTAAATTGAACTGAGGTATATAGCTGAGTTCACTGATTAGGATTTGCTTAAAGCAGAAGTGGTGATGTTGTAAATCTTATATTGCATATTTGAAAGTTACAGACAGCTTGAAATGGTCAAGGTCCATCTGGGTTTTCACTACTTATGCCCCTCTGCTTGTTAATTCTTATATTTTGTTAGACTAGGCACGTTTTAGTTAGAAGGAGATGGTAGAGAATTTGGGGCCAGGTTATCTAAGTTCTTTTTTGGTCTCATCTGGTTGTAGTTAGTTGATTTTCTTTCTTTTTGTTTGTGCAGTTTACTTTGGAGCTATGAGAAAGAAAGACAGAGTCTTTGTTAGTCCTAGCTGACCTGGAACTTCCTTTGTAGACCAGGATGCTGTGAACCTGCTTGATCCTCCTGCCTGGCTTAGGTGCTGGGATTCTAGGCATGTGCCACTAGGTCAGGCTAGTTTGTTTTATTTAAAAGGCTATCTTAAATGGTGAATATAACAAATATATTCTATCCATAGCTTATCTTTAGGCATTTGTAGATACAGACTTGACAGTCTCCTCTCAGATTTGGTGTATCCTATTGTAGACAGACTTTTATTTTTATGCCGGGCGGTGGTGGTGCACACCTTTAATCCCAGCACTTAGGAGGCAGAGGCAGGCGGATTTCTGAGTTCGAGGCCAGCCTGGTCTACAGAGTGAGTTCCAGGACAGCCAGGGCTACACAGGGAAACCCTGTCTCGAAAAACAAAAAACAAAAAACAAACAAAAAAAAAACCAAAAATAAATAAATAACATAACAAAATTGTATACTATGGGCATGCTGTAGAGACCAGATTAGCGGAGTGTAGTGGATCACAGTCTGAGCCTCCTGAGCGTTTGGGAATGATGACGCTGAGTGATTGGTATAGAAATTAATGTAGCATGAAGTAAATTGGGGTTAGAAAAGCTCTAGCTCACCTGTCTTGTTGATAGTGAGACAGGGAAAGGGAGACATATTTTAGTACCTGCACCTATTTGCTTCCTGCATAACATAATGAGGAAGGTTTTGAAGCTATCTCAAAAGTAGGCTTTCCAGTTCTATAATATAATAATAGTGTATTAAAAAATTACTGATGCTGCCAAGTTCTCAGACTGGTTCCCTTAGAAGACGACACCTACTTTTCCTACTGTTTATTCTATCCATGCAAATGTGTATCTGAGACTCATCAGCCTGGTTTATTTCTTATGTCAGAGAAAAGATTAATTTAAGCTGGTCCCATTCCTTAAATTTTGTTTCTGTTTCTGCTTATCTATGCTCAGGATTGAATTTAGGCCTCATGTGTGCTAGGCAGGTGCTTTACCATGGAGCTATATCCCCAGCCACCCTATTTTATTTTATTTTTTGTAACAATAAAAGTTTCCCTGTATAGAGGACTCTTTGTTACTCAGAAGTGTAGGTAGTTGCTGTAGAACTTCCTCTTCTGGAGGCAGTTTAGTTGTTGTTGGAGTTAGGTCTATGCCCAGGATGTGTTCTGAGGAGTGGAGCCCCTGTACTGTCATTCCACAGTCATAGCGCCTTTGTTCATTTCTTCCTCTCACTGTTAGCTCATGGTTGAGATGGCTACTTTCCCTTACTTGGCTCTCTGTCTTCTGGCCAGTACAGATAGACTGCAATAGAATTTCATAGCTTCTTTTCTGTGTGAGGAGTTTAATTAAATGTCTAAATTAATAGGAAGTAGAGAATTGCTAAGGAGGATTGACTGGATCTTTTTCATTCTTACTACCATCCTTATAGCTTTTTAGGGAAGCTGGAGGCAGTAGCCTCAAAATGTCTTTCCTGAGGGATCTGATGGTAAGATCCTATAATCTCAACTACTTGGGTGGCTCAAGCAGGAGAATCAAAAAGTTGAAAGCTTGGTAACTGAGATTCTAATATATACATATATATATATATACACACACACACACACACACGTATATGTACATATATGGATTAACTATACTCAGCTACTTGACACCCCCTCCTGCATGTGTATGTGTGATACAGTTGTTAATGTGTCAGTGAAGTTAAAATGATTTGTCTTCCTCAGTTGTGCTCTACCTTACTTTTGAAACAGGGTCTGTTATTAAATCTATACATTGTATATCACTATTTATATTATGTATTATTATAATTATATATTATAAATTACAAATTTCATATTGTAATTATATATTATTTATAGCTCACTGATTGAGCTAGACTGTCCAGTGAGTTCCAGGAGGGTCCCTTTGTCACAGCCTTCCCAGTGCTAGGACTATAGTTTTTTGCCACCACATGTGGCTTTCTCTGTGTGTGCTGGAAATCTGAATGAACTTAAGTCTTCACACTTGTACAGCAAACACCATTAACTGAACCATCTCCCCACCTCCCAGCTACTCCACTTTCTTTAATATTCCAGGTAGGTTGTTCAAAGTATGAAAAAAATATATGCATAATGATTCTTCAAGTAGGATACTTTTTTTTTTTAAGCCTGTCTGGTCTACGTAGCAAGTTCCAGATGAACTTGATTCTCCCAAGTGCTGTGATTACAGTTGTGAACCACTACCCAGCTTTTAAGTAGTGTTACTTTTACTAACATAAAATATGAAGTTTAGGGTAGGAGTCAACAGACTTTCTGTATAGGGCCAGAAAACACATATGTTAGGCTTTGGAGGCCATAAAGTTTGCGTCTTAACCCTTCAGTACTGTAGCGGAGTATGAGTTAGCTGAGCCCCAGAGTACTCACTTGCCTTGGATGTGCAGGGCTCAGGAATAGATAGGTCCTCAGAGCTGCCAAAATGAAGAGTGGGAAAGGGGGAAAAATTGAATCTTTTCACAGATGCAGAATGGTGTTTTCTGTTGGTTTAATAAATAGTAAGATGAGACATAAAAATGGTACATTATGTGTTCATTAATAATTAGTAAGGCAGCTAAGACCATAGCTGAACAATAGAATGCTTGCCTAGCATGTCTGAGGTTCTAAGATCAATTTCAAGCAGCAACAAAAATGAGTAATGAATAGTATGAAAAACAGAACATTTTAAATTAAATATACAAGGTAGGAAAGTATACTAGTGGAAGCAAATATCACAAAATGTATATATATGGTAAAGTCAGTCAAGTTCCTATATCTGCAATAGGACAGCAGAGCAGTAACTAGATAACTTGATCTTTCCTTAGTGCCTCAGTTTTCATTTCAGTGTTATAATAAAAATATCTAAAAACAAAAACCCAAAGTCACAATTATTGACTAAAGAACTCACAAACTCCACAGTCAGTGAACTGATGGCTGTACACAACAAATGCTGTTTATCAAACCTGCTGAGTTTCAGTGCCATCATCTTTTGACTATTTGAGAATAATAGTAGTATATAAATATTTAGTCTGGACCTATGTTTCAGGTTCTTTTCTTTTCCAGAGATGGGGTCTGTATGAAGTTCTGGCTATACTGGAACTTGCTGTGTAGACCAGGCTGGCCTCAAACTTAAAGAGATCCTCTTACTTCTGCATGTTCCTTCTCCCCTTCCCCCACCTCCCAAAATGTGAGATTAAAAGTGTGTCCCTATTGCCTGGCCCCAGCTTTCAGGTGTTTGTCTTTTGTTTTGTTTTGTTTTTTAGATTTATTTGCCTGTATGCCTGTAGGCCAGAAGAGGGAACCAAAACTCATAGATGGTTGTGAGCCACCATGTGGTTGCTGGGAATTGAACTCAGGACCTCTAAGAACAGCCAGTGCTCTTAACCACTGAGCCATCTCTCCAGCCCCAGCTTTTAGGATTTGCTTTCAGGTTTTGCTTTCAGGTTTCAGCTGTTGCTACCTTGAAATGTAGTTAAAAATTTTGTGCATTTGAGTGTTTTGCCTGTATGTATGTCTGTGGCTCACAGGTGTGTCTGGTGCCAACCAAGACCAGAGCGAGTATCCTGGAACTGGAGTTACAGGTGTTAGGTGCCTTGTGAGTGCTAGGACTGGAATTCAGGTTCCCTGTAAGAACAGCCAGTGTTCTTCACTGCTGAGCCATCTTTCCAAGGGCTGCCAAGGGTTTTTTTTTTTTCCACAGCAGTTAATCCATTTATTTCTGCTATAAATGCACAAAGATTCTAATTTTCCTGTTTTCAAGCCAACAGCTATTTTCCTTAAAAATTTATTATTGTCATCCTTGTAGGTTGACAATAACTTCCTGTTGTAAAAGATTTATCAGAAAGACAGCGTCTCCTAAAGGTTTTTCTGTTTTTTTTTTTTTTCTTTTTGGAAGATCTCTTCTTTCATAATTTTTTTCAGAAGCCAATCTAATTGAAATGTAAATAGCAGCTTTATGCTGGGTTTGTGCAGGAGGATCCGGGGTTCAGGGTCATCCTCTACTACATAGTGAGTCCAGGCTTTTCAGGTACATGGAACTTCTATCTTATGTTTTATGTTTACAGCAGGTACGACCAAAACTGCAGCTTTTGAAGATTTTGCAGGCAGCAGGTGCTCAGGGTGAAGTATTCACCATGAAAGAGGTAAGCCATCAGGGACAGTTCAGTTTTAAGAACAGTTGAATAGAGGCCATCATATGCACAGTTCTGAAATCTGGGCCAAGAAAGGAAGTTGTACTACCGAAAGAACAGTTTCCATATTGTAAGGGCTGCCTTGTTAATCTCCTGTTTCCGCCACACTTCCTTTTGAAGTCTGTATATATGTGGTCATCCATAGATTCATTGACCTGGGAGTTTTAAAGCAAAATGTGTGGGTTAAAAAGATTTCACAGCTTACAAGCCTTGCTGCAAGAAGGAACTCATGCAGTGACTTTATCACTGTGCGCTTGTCAGGTACTCTGCAAGCACTCAGTCATTTTGAATGTTTAAAAATTTAAATAACTTAGCATCTGGAAACTTTTTTTTTTTTAAACCAGCACATTAAATTTTTTAAAGTGGAATACATTCAAATGTTAATGTACTCAGACAATTTGCGTTTAGTTTGGTATTTAGTATTTAGTATTAGAACCTTCCACCTTTCCTAAGCAGAAAACAAAATGACAGACTTTTTTTTCCCTTTAAAGTGCCACATCTATCAGTAATACTGCTGAGATTATAGATGTCCTTGATTTGCTTTTGATATTTAACAAGAACTTAATTACTGAGTAAGAAGTTTGGTGTTTTTTAACCTACTTTTAAGAAACATTCCAGGGTCAGAGTGGGAGGGTAGAAGGGAAATAAAGAAAGCATGAAGCATTAAACCTATATCAGTAGATGTATCTTGCCAATTCCTTCCCTTTCCCCTTTCATTTTCTCCCCATTTGTCATAAAATTTATCCAGGTCTATTGTCAAATAGTGTATCAGCCTAGATTTAATAAAGGTTCTGTGACACGCTTCATCTACGTGTAAAAGAGCACTTCTCAAGTTTAGGATCATGAGTTTTTGAAACCTGAAAGGAGCCTGGCAGTGGTGGTGCACGTCTTTATTCCCAGCACTTGGGAGGCAGAGGCAGGCGGATTTCTGAGTTCCAGGCCAGCCTGGTCTACAGAGTAAGTTCCAGGACAGCCAGGGCTACACAGAGAAACCCCGTCTTGAAAAAAACCAAAAAAAAAAAAAAAAGACACCTGAAAGGAAAAGCCAGGTAGATGATATTTTTATTTGTGAGAGACCTAGATTCTGGTTTCTGTATTAGGACTAATGGTCCATTAAACATTGGACACTGCAGCAGAATACTAAGTTGCTGCCCTTTGCATTGTCAGATCAGGCTCTGTTAATGGATGGGTGGAAGAACCTAGTGTAGGAAACATCTATCCTGTTTGAGGATTGCTTACACTCTGTCAGCATCCAAATACTGGTGGTTTTGCATGTCTTTCTCTAGCAAAATATCTCAACCACTCATGGGTGGTTGTGGTTTTGGTAGTAGTCAGACATATCGTTTCATGGTGTTTTGTTCTCATGTAGGTAATGCACTATCTAGGCCAGTATATAATGGTGAAGCAGCTCTATGATCAACAGGAGCAGCATATGGTGTACTGTGGTGGAGACCTTTTGGGAGATCTACTTGGATGTCAGAGCTTTTCTGTGAAAGATCCAAGGTAAAAAGGGTGAGGGTTTATGTATCTTTGAGTGCTTATACCTGCTCACTCAGTCTGTATAGGTTATTTTTCTTTAGTCAATAAGGGCTACATATGTTGTATAGCCAGTGAGATATATATGCGGAGTACAATGGTTTGCAGTGTGGGCAGTCTGATTTGATGGCACATACAGAATACTAATCATCTTCATACACTGTTATATAGCATGACAATGAGAGCTGAAAAGAAAAGTGCACGAAATGGAGAATGGCTGGGTCTTATCCTGTCAAACGTTCCTTGAGGAAGCAGAATGTGAGCTGAGCTGTGACAGTTTTTAGAGGGCTAGTGGGTGGGGAGCGTCTAGTTGAACATCTTGTATGAAGGTTGAATAGGAGGGATTCATGTCACTAGGTCACAAGTTGGTGTTCTTTAAATTTTTTTTAAAGTTTTAATTCACGTGTGTGAGTGTTTTGCCTACATGCATGTGTCTGCTCAGGTATGTGCTTGGTGCCCAGGGAGGCCAGAAGAGGGTGTCAGATCTCCTGGAACTGAAGTTACATATGGTCATGAGCCACCACGTGGGTGCTGTTAGTTGTTTCCCTGTAAGAACAGTCAATGCTCTTCAGTTGAGTCATCTTTCCACCCTACCCTCACCTTCTGTTGCCCCCCCCCCCAAACCTTAATAGTGATTAACATTTATAAAACTTCCTTTCACACTTTAATTTTTTCAATCAAAAATGCAAACTTGACATCTAGAAGAAAAGAATAATCTTCAAAGAAAATCTTCCCAATTGGGTTACTAATAGTTAATAAAATAAAATTTGATCAAATTTTTATTGAGGTCAGGATAGCTGGGGCTGGACATTCATTTCCTTTTTTCTGTCCTGGACTTGCTCTGTAGACCAGGCTGGCCTTGAACTCAAAGAAATCTGCCTGCCTTCACCCCCACATCACTGTGATTAAAATTAAAGATGTGTGCCATCACGCCCGGTTTTCTTTTTCTTTTGTTTTTGTTTTCTTTAAATAGGCTCACATTTGAACCTAAGGTAGGCTTTAAATCAGTAAGTTGCTAAGAATAACCTTGAACTTGATCTTTCAGCCTGAACCTTCCAAATGCTGGGGTTTCAGGCAAGCACTATTGTGCTTGGCTCTTCCTTAATGTTTAAGTTATTTAAAAAAAAATTGTGGGGAGCTGAGCAGTGGTGGCTCATGCCTTTAAACCCAGCACTTGGAAGGCAGTGGCAGGTAGATTTCCGAGTTTGAGTCCAGCCTGGTTTACAGAGTGAGTTCCGGAACAGCCCTGGCTATACAGAGAAACTCTGTCTCAAAAAAACAAACAAAAACAAACAAACAAACAAAAATTGTGGGAAAAAGATTCTGTCTGTATATCTAGGAGAAAATAGGAAAGTATCATACCATAGATATATTTAATATATAATGGAAAACCACAAATATTTATATATTATTTCTTTTACAGCCCTCTCTATGACATGTTAAGAAAGAATCTTGTTACATCAGCCTCTGTTAACACAGGTATGTTATATGTTTCTTGATTTTGTATTGAAGCTTTGAGTTTAAGGAAGCAAATGATGGGAACCGGGGTCCAGATGAAATGGAGTGCTATCTGTGACATGACTGGAGGGATGTTCGTACAACTGTCTGTCATACAGCATGGTATTACTGTTAAGTAAGTTCTCACTGATAAATTCAGTCATCCTGAAGCTAGAGAGGAGAGCTGTTATATCCTAGATGTAATGTTTTTTCTTTATGCAGCACAAGGGATTGAACCTAGGGCCGTGTACTTATGTACTCTACCAATGACCTATGTTTCTAGCTTTCTGTTTACTATTTTGAGAGAGCATCTTCCTAAGTTGCCCATGTTGGCCTTGAACTCACTCTGTAGCAAAGGCAGGCCTTGAGTTTTTGGGTTCCCCTGTGATTGTCTTTCTAGTAGGTAGATTTTCTGGTTTGTGGAGGCAGTCAGGCCCAGCTTAAGCTTAGTAATTATAAATGTTGCACTATATTTGCTTCATCTTGATATATTTAAAACAATCTCTTAGATAAGGACTTTCTCCTCAGACATAACCTCATCATTACTGTGTTCATAAGTAATAATACTTTTTATTTTTGGTTTGTTCAGGTGATGATCCAAACAAAGTCCACACATTGCATTGGGTTTATCGTGTGTGTGTGTGTGTGTGTGTGTGTGTGTGTATGAGAGAGAGAGAGAGAGAGAGAGAGAGAGAGAATTTTGTTTCATATAGAATCTTCAGTGATCTAATTAGGGTAAACTAACATACCTACCATCTCAAGTTTAGCTTTTTTGTGTGTTGGAAGCATTAAAAAATCTCCACTTCCAGCTATTAAAATATTCAGTAAATTACTGTGGCCACTGTACTGTGGTGTAGGATACTCCTTTTGGCTTTTATCATATTTATTGAAGATTTGTAATTGTAATTTTTCCTGTAGGGTTGCCTGTGTTCTAGAATTGACAGATTATATCTTTGTGGCTGTGTTTCTTAATGAGTGCATAGATTCAAGTTTAAATGTCTTTGGTGTCAGATCTTCATGATGGTGCTTTGGACCCCCCCCCTTTTGTATGCCTCACATTGTGGAAGCCTCCCCCCCTTTCACACACGATGTGGGCTCTTGGTAGTATTGCTCCAATCCATTGATTATAAAGGTCCTCCCAAGAAATTTTCACTTTAATAATTTTTGTAATTTGTTTACATGAACACACATTGGTGTGCTTATTTATGGCATACATTATAGTTTAGGTTGGCTTGGAGCTTGCTTTGTACTCCAGGCTAGCTTCAAACTTGGAAATTCCTACTTTTCCCAGCCTTTTGAAATTGGGGTCTCAGGCATGAGTCACTACACTTGGCTCAATAAATTGTTATCTGTGAGCCAATTTGACCCTTCTTAGACCTTTTAAATACTGCTTTGAATTTCTTAGTTATGAGGAGGAAACTAGCCGTTTGGAGTCTGGTTTCCAAAGTGGTAGGGTAGAGATGGTGCTGAAATGTATGTGACTCTTGTTCGCTGTAATGAAGCTGTCCTCTTTTGTTCACCTCAGTTAGATTTCAGAAACACCATACAAATGATACTGCCTTGCTAGGTTTTGGCCATACTTGGGGAAGTAAACAGACTGCAAAGACTTCTGAATCTCTTCATGTCACTGAAAGACATTGAGATGGAGAACTTTGTAAATGAGAGGCAGCTTTATTGAAATTCAGTCATTTGTGAGTTAAACTTTTCTTTGGAAAGTCACTGATGGCATGAAATACATGAAGGACTTTATAATTTTGTTTTGTATATTGTTAAATTTGTTTTCTGATCCGTCCTCTGAATCTTTAGAGTGAGCATAGCTAGTTCTTACATTTTCCTCCCTTAGTTTCTTTCTTGTACTTTTTCCTGCAAATATCTTTCTCTGTAGTGTATTACAAGGAACATTTCTTTAACAGTTCAGTTCATCTTTACAGCTGCCATCAGAGGAGGTCCTGGAGGTAAAGAAGCAGAGGGTTTTGTTGGTATTTTTCAGTCCAGTCAGTGGTTTGCCTAGTACTGGACTCCTGGCTGTGGGCCATGATTGCACAGCCGTCCTGCCATACTCTGTGTCCTTCACCTTTGTGTATCTTTTTTTTTTTTTTTTTTGGTTTTTCGAGACAGGGTTTCTCTGTGTAGTCCTGGCTGTCCTGGAACTCACTCTGTAGACCAGGCTGGCCTCGAACTCAGAAATTCGCCTGTCTCTGCCTCCCAAGTGCTGGGATTAAAGGCGTGCGCCACCACCGCCCGGCCACCTTTGTGTATCTTAACACAGCTGCTCACCCTCCCAAGTTTTTGGACACATATTTTCCCTCTGAGTATTAAGTTCTTACAACATTTTACTTTACTTTACTTTACTTTACTTTACTTTACTTTATTTTATTTTTTGGTTTTTCGAGACAGGGTTTCTCTGTGTAGCCCTGGCTGTCCTAGAACTCACTCGGTAGACCAGGCTGGCCTCGAACTCAGAAATCCGCCTGCCTCTGCCTCCCAAGTGCTGGGATTAAAGGCGTGCGCCACTACCGCCCGGCTCAACATTTTAATTTTTATTTAACTTGTCATCCTGAAGAAATTTTGTATTTAAAAGCCACAGAATTTTGACAAGATGGTGAACACTTGCAACCCATTACTTGGGAGGCAGAGACAGGGCCTGTAAAGTTTCAAGGTAATGCAGGCTACTTAGCTACTCAGTTTCAGGGAAAAGGAAGAAGTACTTAGTGTTTTAGAATGTTCTTTACCTAGATTCCCTCACTGACAATGTGTAACATAATCACAGTGCCTTAGGAAATTGCTGCAAAGAACTTAAAAAGAATTTTAAAAAGTGTATTGCTATACAGGGTTTCACAGGGAATTTTGCAAGGGGTTTGGATTGTCTGCTCTGACTTGTTCTTATAGTTAGTGCTTATAGTTGGATGTTTCTGTTGACCTAAAAATAAATTGGATTTCGTGTGCTTTATTTGAAAGGACAAATGAAAAAAGTGCTATACTTACAACTTTTGGACCTTTTTAAGTGGGTTTAGATCTTTATCTATTTTGACTGTTGAAGAAAATGGTCATTAATTAAAATTAAGGTGGTTCTTTCTAAATAATTTTCCGGGTATATTAGTAAAATGAAATAGATATAACAAGCTTTGTGGTTTTAAGTTTCTTTCTATATTGTAGCTTTTTAGATGATTTCCTTTTGTTTTTAAGTAGTTTAGTCTAAATAAAGGCTTTTTAGTAATAACCACGGGTTGTTTTAAAAAAAAGAAAAGAAAAGAAAAAAGATCCACTTTACCTGCATTGTATTAGTTTGATCTTGTTTCTTGTTTTGAAGATGACTTTGGCCAGAAGATGCTGTTTCTGAATTTATACTTACTTAGCTATAAAAATGCTTCTAGAAGTGGTACAACAATTTTGAAAAACATTTATTTTGTGAAAAACAAATGAATTGTCAGAATAGTTACAGTCTGGATCTGGGTTCTTCGTGGTCTGTTGGATGTTGTTTTCATGAATGGCTTCTCTCTGTCTCTGCTAGTGGCTGGTGAACCCAGTCCTTTGCAGGCACACTTGAATGTGTCTCAGTTACATGAAGCTTATCGTAATGGTGTAGGTCAGGTTAGTGTCTCAGTAGCTTGTTTTTTTCTGTAGTCATGTTTTTAGGTTTTGTTTCACTTGAGACTTTTGTAAGTCCTTGGGATACATTTCCCTCTTTAGCTAATGCAATATAGGGATATCTGTCTAGCCAGTGTGATGGCTTAGTGGGTTAAAGGACTTGTTATATAATCTTGAGGACCTGAGTTTTGATCCACAGAACCCACTGTTGAAGGAGAGGACTGACTTCTGTTCCACATATGTGTGCCCGTTACACACAGTAGTAAGACAAGACAAAAACAAAGAGTTTCTCTTTTACTCTGCCTCCCTTTCTGCTTCTGTTGATTGTTGGGAGAGAAACATTCAGTACTTTTTGGAAAATGTAGTTGCTGAGAAGAATAAGACTTAGTGACCGTCTGTATTCAGATCATGGAATCACCATGGCATTTAAGAATGCAGGTTTGTTTGAAGATGGAATTGTTTTCTGAAACAAGTCTGGCAAATTCTTGGTTTTCAGGTCTTGTAATACAACACTTAAAAATACAAACTTTAATAGACAAGTAATGTTTGTTGTTTATAAGGTAGGCAAGCAGTCTGTCGAAATAGAAAGAGATGAACACCACATTGTTTGCTGCTCATTCACTTTTTGCATAAACATCTGAACACGTGCCATGGACGAGCATGCTCAGCCACTCTTGCTTCCTCCAGGTTGCTCTGGTGTTGTCTTTTAACATGGCTTTGTTGGGTTTGTCATTTTTAGAAGTTTTTTTTTTCCCCATTTGGGAATGAGACTCTTTTCCAGACAGAAGCCCATCTCTAGAGAACAAGCCTGTTTCAGGGCTGTGTGCTGAGGTCTTTGTGTGGAAAGAATGGTTATTACCAGGGAAGGTTTTCCTTTTGTTTTACTTGCTATCCAGATGCTGCTCAGACTCTCGCTCTCGCACAGGATCACACTATGGATATTCCAAGTCAAGACCGACTGAAGGTAAAATCACCGCACGGTGACTTCTTTTCTTGTACAGAGTGGCCCCTTCTCTGTACCTGTGGATCTTGGGCTCCCAAGGCCTTTTCGTGAATGTGGTAAGGATTTAATAAGAAAAGCCCTTGGGAGTTCACAGACCAGGGACAGAGTGAACCTTCTCTGTTCTGCCCTTAACAGAGTTCCAGTCTCTGAATGTGTCTTTGGGATGTAGCACTTCTGATTTTCACTCCTTCCAGTTGCTCTCTCTCTCTCTCTCTCTTTCTGTCTATTTCTGTGTGTGTGTGTGTGTGTGCATGTGTGTTCACGCATTCGTGTGTTTAAGATGGTATATATTTGAGTGTTTGAGGCATTGCTGTATTAGACTATACCAGGCTCGTTGTAGTTAAGTTTATGTCATGACATTTCCTAAAGTTTCCTCAAATGTGGGGAAACTTTTAAGATCATCTTGAAATATGATGAGGGTGTCACTTGCTTTCTGAATTATGCCTAATAGGAAGTAGGCTGTACAGACAACCTGTTTTTCAAAAGTGTATTTTGTCCTTTGTACAGAAGTTATTCCCCTTCCCCAAGTTGGGATTCTGCCTGTTCTGCTGGTGGTGTTGAGAGGTGTGTGTTGCTTTTCTTGAGGATTCTTGTCAGCTGCAGAGCTCTCTTCCCTGTGCATAACCCATTGTGTTGCACACTAACTGGTGAGCCAGAATGGAACTGCTACATCCCCTGGTCTTAGTCATTCCAGCTGTACTAACAGACACCCTTCCCTTTCAGCACGGTGCAGCAGAATACTCCAATCCCAGAAAAAGAACTGAAGAAGATGATATTCACACACTGCCTACCTCACGACGTAAATGCAGAGATTCCAGAGCAGGTAAGCTTTGGGTTAAGACTTCTCCCTTCCTCCTTCTTCTCTCCTTTATTTGTACTTTTAGACATTTATTTAGATAGTAGGTATTCTTTGGCAGCTTCTGGACAGTGAGTAGTACAGGACCTTTATGAGCCAGTGAGCTTGAGAGGATGCTGACTGTTCAAGTTTGCTCTCAGCCTTTTGAGTTTCTGTCACCCACTTTAGACTTCATGTTTTGACTTGGCTTTTATCTTTTGATATGGAAGCTAATTTTTTAAAGACTGAAAGTTTGCAAAAATGGCAAAATATATGTAGCAGCACAATATATGTAAAAGCACAGAGGCAGACATTAGATAGCAAGTTGAGAAGTTCTGTTGCCTTTTATCCTGTTAGACACATGGTCACCCTGAATGAGTTAACTGATATTTCGGAAGTTTCTCTTAAAATATTATAGCATAATCTTTGGAAGTTATGGAGTTTGTTTTTTTTGTTGTTGTTGTTGTTTTGTTTTTTTGTTTTATGTTCAAAACCATAAATTCCCCAAAGGCATTTAGTTTATAGTATAATGTTTTCTAGTAACCTGTTCTTGGTTCATAATTGGGTCAAAGGCAGGTTAGACTTTTGATTATATCTTATAAAGTTATGTTACTCAAGTTGTTTTATATATTTAAATTAAATTTGAATTAGTTTATCATGCTAGATTTGTTTTCTCACTGTATTTGAACATAAATTGACTTTTTTAAATCTATGTTGACATTGAAGTTATTTCAGTCTTTTAAATGTATGATTTCATTTAACTGCAAATTCTTATTTTCTACTCACAAAAAGCTGGACACTATGCAACTTATGATAGAAATTTAGGGACGAATAGTTCTAGACTTTCCAGCAAGATCTGTAGGTAGAAAGGACAACATTTTACCTGTGGAAATAATTAATCATTCATGTTCCTTCCTTTTATAATAAATTTAGAGCTTGAATACATGAGGATAACTTTAATGATTCTGTCTTGGGAATTAGTTTCTGATCATTACAGTAATGAATGGATAAAAATGTAATTGGAGGTTTTCTGGCCACAAGTATGTCTATGATAATAGCAGGATGTAATTAGTTGAGCTGTGCTCTGGCAGGGACCAGTTGGTTTCAGAAATGTTTGAATCAAGCATGCCTGGGCATATTTATGCTTCTGTGACTGGCGTCACTAGGTCCAGTGCATTGGGAAGAGGTAGAAGACAGGGAGAAAGTAGAGAAATGGTAAAGTACTACAAAAAGACCAGGAAACGTGAAGGAAAAGACTCCATATGACAGCAAGAGGGGCTGAGAGTCTTTCACTTAAAGTACAGAGGTCCTTGTTATCTGTGGGACTTTTAGATACTGATTCTCAAAGAGCCCTCGATCCAGAAAAGACACAGACATGTGCTTATTTGGACAGTTCTCTGTTGTTAGTGGTTGTTACCTAGCAAAACATGCATTGTTGATAACATATCCCAAATACGTGGCACCAGTAAGACCCCTTCAACCTTTGACTCCAAAATAGGATCTGTGTCTCCCTGCTTTGACCTCAGGTTGGGCTATTATGTTATTGCCATTTGCAGTCCAGCAGCTGAGCCATTATCAAAACATATATTAGAGCAAGTCATTGTAATGATATTTGTTTTTGTTTGTCTTTGAGATGAGGGTCTCAACTGTGTAGCCCTGGCTAACCTGGAACATGCTATGTGCTGGGAGTAAAGGCAGATGTATACTTCTTTGCCTAGCTCTAAGTCATTATCATTATTTATTACAGGGTTGGTAAATGTTTAAAATGTCAGAAAATGGCCATTTTGAACTCCTTTTAGCACAGCACATTGAGATGCTTTTAGAGTTTTGTGCCCTGAAGTGATCTTCTGTTGATAGTGTTCCTGATGGCTAATGAAACCTAAATGGGAGGTTTGAGCCATACCACTAAGGTATTTGATTTCTCTTTCTTTCTTACTGAGAATAGGAGTTTGTTTTTACTTATTTTACAAAGATTGTTAAGTATTCCGAGAAAAATCTTGGTTCTTCTGTATTACCTACAGTTACTTTCATTTGATTTCTGTAGATGAAGACTTGATAGAACATTTATCTCAAGATGAGACATCTAGGCTTGACCTTGATTTTGAGGAGTGGGATGTTGCTGGCCTGCCTTGGTGGTTTCTAGGGAATCTGAGAAACAACTATATACCTAGAAGTAATGGCTCAACTGATTTACAGACAAATCAGGTAAAAGTCACATCTGAGGGGAGCTGGTTTTGCTTGTTTTTCTTTACTCTGACTGTAGTTAAGAATTCTTACTGGCTTGTTTCATCTATATGTATGTGATGCTCAGATGTAGCCCTGACTTTTTCTAAATTCCACATTGAAGCCTCTGCAAAGGCTGTGTTCACTGTTACAGAATCTGACCTTGAACATGAAATTGATGATTTTTTAAACCAACACTCCTTCCCTATCTTTTCCTTCTATGTAACAATTCTAGCCAAACTACGGGAGATGCTGACTTCCTTCTCTGTCATATACACTCAAACCAGGTTGGCATGGAACTCAGAGATCTACTTGTCTCTGCCTCCCCAGTGTTGGGATTAAAGGTGTGCACCACCACTGCCTGGCACCATTGCTATTTTTCATATAGGTGGTTGAGCAATTTCACACCACAGCTACATTTCTTGATTTTAATATTTTTGATTTTTTAAAAAATTATTTTTAGTGCATGAGTGTGCACCTGAGCATCTGAATATATGTATGTGTACTGCCTATGCAGGTATCCTTAGAAGCCAGAAAGAGGGTTCTAAGATCTCTTATAGGTAGAGTTACAGATGGTTGTGAGCTGCCGTCTGGGAACGAAACCTGGTATTATTAACCACTGAACCATTTCTCCAGTCTTGGGTTTCAGAACCAGGCATGAATTCCTTCCTGTGGAACGGTCCTCATATTTAATCAGGAAATGGTTACCCCCATAACAGACCATTATTGCACCTGTGGGCATCTTGCCTGCTAAGTTGGCATTATACCGTTCTTCTCTTCTAGGTAATACCACTGATGTATTATTTCTCCCCAGAGATACATTTTGTTGTTGTTGGTCTGTTGGTCTCTACATAGGCCTGTCTGTTTCTGTCCTGGAACTTACTATGTAGGTTCCAGGCCTGGCCTCAAACTCAGGGAGCTCTGCCTGCCTTTGCATCCTGAGTGCTGGGCAAGAGTGGGTTTTTTTTTTCTTTTTTAAAATTTTATGTATATGAGTGCTTTATTTCCATGTACACCTGCATGTAGAGGGCGTCAGATCCCATTACAGATGTTGTGAGCCACCACGTGGTTGCTGGGAATTGAGCTCAGTATCTCTGAAAGAGCAGCCAGTGCTCTTAACCACTGAGCCATCTCTCCAGCCCCCAACAGTACATGTTTTAAATGATTAACTTGCATTACTGCCATGTTTATAATTCTTCAGTGGGATCAAAAAACAAGTAGAATAAGATCTAGACTCCTTACCATAGCTGTAGCTTGTCTATAGCTTGACTTTATCAGTCTTCATTGTTCACTGCCTGTATTCTAGACACATAAGGATTTTAATCCTGTAGTTCACAGCTCCTTCCTTCTGAGGCAACTTAAATTTGTTTTCTGATTTGTGAAACATCCCCCTCAAATCTATTTCTTTCCTTTTTTGTGATTTAGAATGTGAATGTAACTTCTGTTTAGAGGTCATCATAACTGGTTCCAAGATTACTATGTTGCGTGATTCCATAGGGATCCATTTCTTACTTTTAGATATCCACTCCTAAGTAGTAACCCTATTAGACCAACCTCAAAATTTCCTCCTCTCCAGCTATCCTGTTCCTTTGACTTTTTTTCCTTAAGTCTTTAAAAAATGTTTAAAAGTTAGTATATAAAGTATATAAAGTTAATAAGTATATAGATGGCTCAGTGGTTAAGAGCACTGGCCGCTCATCCAAAGGACATGTGTTCATTTCCCAGAACCCACAGGGTAGCTCACAACTCTCTGTAATTCCAGTTCCCAGGGATCTGACACCTTCACACAGATGTATATGCAGGCAGAACACCAATGTAAATAAAAACAAACCATTAAAAAAATAAATTCCTAGGCTGGTGAGATGGCTCACTGGTTAAAGAGCACTGGCTGCTCTTCCAGAGGTCCTGAGTTCAATTCCTGGGAACCATATGGTGGCTTACAGCCACCCGTGATGGGATCTGATGCCCTCTTCTGGTGTGTCTGAGACAGCGACAGTGTATTTAAAAAACAAAAAAAATCCCCCTAATATTGGAATGGAGTGAGGGCTGTCTCAGTCTCTGTTCCCCGCTACTAGAACATCTCCCCTACCTGGACGGCCTGCTTGGGCCTCAGTGGGAGAGGATGTGCCTAGTCCTCCTAACCTAGATGTCCCAGGGTCGGGTGGTACCCAAGGGGAGGGGGCAGTGGGGAGAAGGATCTGTAAGGGTGAGACTGGGAAGAGAGGAGGGGGTGGAGGATGTAAATAAAGTGAATAAAAAATATGTGCATTAGAAAAACAGTATATAAAACAATCATTTTCATATATCATTCATTTTCTTTTGCGTAAAAATTGCTTTTATTAATAACTAAAATGCTTTTAATAATAAAAACAAGCTGGACACCCAGAATGTGAATCAACTTTTTTAAAATTTATATTTATTTGTCTATTGGTGTTTTGCCTGCATGTAAATGTAAGGGTATCAGAAGTAACTAGTAATTTCATTTATATATATTTGTTTGTTTGTTTCTTTGTTTTGTTTTTGTTTTTCAATATATGGTATAGCCTTGGAACTTATCCTGTAGACCAGGCTGACCTCGGAAGTTACGAGATACACTTGCTTCTGCTTCCCAAGTGCTAGGTAGGATCAAAGGCACGCACTGCCACCACCTGGCTTATTTACATTTTTTTAGTAAAATAAAATATAATAAAATAGAAACCGTCACATTGAAGTTAGGCAGGACAAGCCAACAGAAAGAAAAGAGCTCAAGAACATGAGAATTAGAGGCCTTTTTGTTCACATATTCCAGAATCCCATTAAAATACTAAACTAGAAAACTATAATATATTCACGGAAGACCTGATGTAGACTTGTGCAAGCCCTGCGTTTCTATTTGCTTCTCCTATCTCTGAGTTATATGGACTTTACTCAGTTGATTTGGAGGGTCTATATATCATTCTTAGTGGTCCTTCATCTCTACTCCCTTCCTATGTCTTCTATTGGTTGTCTCCTCCCCCCTCCTCAGTAGTCCCCCATTTGCTTTTATGTCACATGTATTCAATGACTATCTCTGTTTTTCCTTGGTAGTTTCACGAGAGCCCTCCCAACTACCACCATCACCCCCCAGCCCCCCACCCCCAATTCAGTATGTGTCTTTCTGAGCCTGACTTATTTCACTTAACACAACGCCTCAAGATGTTACTTGTTTCTTATGGCTGAATAAGATTCTGTTGTGTCTGTACCATACTTTCTTTATCCATTCATTTGTTGATGAACATCTAGGATAGGTCCATTTCTTAGCTCTTGGGAGAAGCACAGCAGTAAACATAGATGTGCAAGTATGTATGTGGTAGGACTTAGAGTCCTTTGAGTCTGTACTGGAATGGAAAAGTTTTATGTAAAACCTTCATACTGATGTCCGTAGTAACTACATTAGTGGTGTGTGTGCACACACACATTTTAGTTTATTTTCCCACCAGCAGTATATAAACATTCCTTTTATTATTTGTTGTTTGTTTTTGCCTTTATCTTAATCGATATTCCCAACTGCACTTGACACTTTGGTTTTATATTTGTTTTTATTGTTTGTTTACTCTCAATGAAGTATAAGACCAGAGCTTTTTCATTGATTACTTACTGTACCCAGAACAATAACTGGTACTAGCAGTATCTGGTAATAACACAACAGTAGCAGAGCAGGGCTGGAGAGATGGCTCAGTGGTTAAGACCATATAGGCTGCTCTTCCAGAGGTCCTGAGTTCAATTCCCAGCAACCACCTGGTGGCTCACAACCATCTGTAATGGGATCTGGTGTCTTCTTCTGACACGTAGGTGTACATGCAGGTAGAATACTCATATGCAATAAATAAATCTTAAAATAACAGAGTACAAGGTTCTGTAAAATATCATATGGATAATGGGATGGTTCAGAGGCTAAGAATGTTCTTACAGAGGACCTATGTTCACTTCTCAGCATCCACTTAGTGGCTCACAGCTGGCTATAGCTCAGTTCCAGAGGATGCCCTTTTCTGGACTCTGTGGGCTCTGCATGCAACAAAACACTTGTACACATAGAATAAAAATAAATCTTTAAAAAAAGTGTACAGATGAATGCAGTAAGTTAAGTTTGTATATGTTGGATGTTGTTGGAAGCTTCAGAAAGTAGTTGTATGTGGTTGTTCATATGTATAGACTCTGCACTTATAGGACGGGGCAGGAGGATGTTGAGTTTGAATCCAGTCTTGGCTACATAGAGAATTCCAGGCTCACTAGGATTGCATAATGAAATGCTTTTTCAAAAAGAAACACAAAAGTGTCATGTTCAAAGAATGGGATTGCCATCAGTGTTAAATAGGGAGGATATGTTAGAAAGTACAGAACTTTTCTAGATTTTCACTTATGGAGATGACTGTAGAATGCATTCTGTTTAGTAGAAGAACTGTTAAATTCTTTTAAGCTCTTTTTATACCATTTCTTGTATTTTGTATCTCATTTACTATTAAAAAATTTCTTGTCTGATATCCTTACATCTATCCATTTTGTAGAGACCTGCTGAATGAAGACATGTCTATTGAGGAGAGGCATGATGTTCTCTGGATGGCATTAAGTTGACTCAGCATCTCTGATAAGTCACCAATTATAAAGCTCATGTTTGTTTTTCTCTGTTAGGATATAGGTACTGCCATTGTTTCAGACACTACCGATGATTTGTGGTTTTTAAATGAGACTGTGTCAGAGCAATTAGGTGTTGGAATAAAAGTTGAAGCTGCTAATCCTGAGCAAGCAAGTGAAGTAGGGAAAACAAGTGACAAGAAGGTACGTTCCAGCATTCTCCCTCCGGAGGTATCTGTGTTCTAGAATCATCTTCAGGTGTTGAGTGTTTCTCTACACTAAGTTTTAAGATTTAAATTGTTAGGCAAGGCTGCCTCAGAAATGAGCCAAGATTCTTGGAGAAGTTCTTGCTATTTTAGGGACATGCTACCTCTCCATTCAGTGGACTAATGGTGGAGTGTTTCTTTTAGAAACTTTTGCTTATTTCGGCAAAACTGTAAATGGCCTTAATAGTCTCTGTTACAGGAGAAGAGAAGCCTTGTATTTAAAGAACTTTGATAGCTTTGTAACCACTTCATAACAAAATTGGAAAAAGCTAATCTTTAAAACCTATTTTAAAGTTAGTATGATTTTCTCCTATATTAAGAAGGGAATTGGGGATAGGAAATAGGAGCTGGAGCTTCCTTGCTCTCCGCAAGAGCTTGAGTTCAGTTTCTTGTACCCATGCCTGGTGGCTCACTGCTTCTGACTCTAGATGCAGGGGGATCTAATGCTGTCTTTTGGTCTCCTTGGACACTGTTCACATGCTTAAAGCCACATGCATATACATAATTTAAAAGAAATTAGAGCTGGTTGTGGTACATATCGTTAATCCCAGCACTGGAGGGTTGGGGGTAGGGGGCAGTTAGAGCCAGGTGGGTGGATCTCTGAGTTTTCGGACAGCCTGTTTGACAGAGCAAGTTCCAGGACAGCCAAGGCTATACAGAGAGACTTTGTCTTGAAAAAAACTTAAAAAGGTATCCTGATATGAGCATACAATTAAAGTAGCAGCTTGGGTGTCAAAAGGATTGGGCAGCAGAGCTAGTGCTTAGCACATAGACAGACTGGTCTGTAATATCCATTGATTATGTGTGAAAATATCATAGAAGACCTATTATTTTTGTACACTAACTGAAAAACGAGCTTTAAAAAAAGACACTGAGGGGCTAGAAAGATGGCTCAGTGGTTAAGAACACTAGTCGCTCTTTCAGAGGGCCCAGGTTCGAATGCCAGTACCCATGTGGCAGCTTACAACTGTCAGTAATGCTAGGATCTGACACACCTCACACAGTCATACATATAGGCAAAACACTAATACACACAGAATAAAAATAAATTAAAAAAAAAGCCATTGAATAAATATAGCACAAGATAAAGGTAACAGGTTTTCATAGGAATTTGGGTTGTTTGCTATAAATATGTGTTAGACTCTCTAAACTAATTATAAACAACATTGGCAGGAATGTTAGTGACTAAAATGAAGATGACAGTTTGGACATTTGTATATAAAAGAATGGACCTTAAAATACTTGAATTTTTGAGGGAAAATCAGAGTTTTTCCATGTATTACTGGCTAGCCCAGAACTCACAGAGATCCTCCTGCCTTTGCCTCTTTTGTGTGTGTGTGTGTGTGTGTGGTTTTTTTGTTTTTTTTTTGAGACAGGGTTTCTCCGAGTAGTCCTGGCTGTCCTGGAACTCACTCTGTAGACCAGGCTGGCCTCGAACTCAGAAATCCGCCTGCCTCTGCCTCCCAAGTGCTGGGATTAAAGGTGTGCACCACCACCATCCGGCCCTGCCTTTGCCTTTTAAATACACAAATTACAGGCCTACACTACCGTGCCTAGTTAATTATTTCTTGAAAAACAGGAATGTTCTGTATATCTATTTGATCTGGAACCCAATATGCAGCCTAAGTAAATAGACCCTGCACTATTGGGAGTTTCTTGGCTTTGCCTACAAAATGTTGAGATATGGGACTGTGTTCTAGACCATCTACATTTCTTTCTTCCTTCCCTCCCCTCCCTTTCCTTCCTCTCCCCTCCCCACTCTCTCTTTCCTTCTTTTGAGGCAGGATCCCACTATTAGACCAGACTGGTCTGGAACTCACAGACATCTGTCTGCTTGTGCCTCCTGCCTGCCGGGATTAAAGGTGTGCACTAGCACACTTAGCTCTGATTCCTGGTCTGTGGGGAGGCTTTTGTAAGGCAGCCCGATTGTCATGTAGCTTTCTTCTTAAAAATGGAAAGTAAAGCTTGAAAGTGCTCCATTCATTCCCTGTGGCCACCATCACAAGATAAAATTTCCTACATAGGAATTGCTGCTTTTATAGTTCTGACATTTATTTTCTTTGAAACTATGAATTTGGACACCACTTTCTGAATATAGAAGGTATTTGGTAACCCTGTGGCTGCTTTTGGTCATTTGTGCTACTAAAGTGTGAACCATGTGTCTATAGGATCAAGGTCTTACATTTATATTCTCTCCTTTGTAAGTGGTAGTGATGTGGGATGGAGTAAGTTTTATATTGAAGCGATTCATCACTTTGCTTTCAGATAATCTCCAGTAAAGCAGGTTAGCATTTCTAATGAGGTTTCTCTTCCTTCACAGATGGTTGAAGTAGGGAAAGATGATGATCTTGAGGAGTCCAAGTCCTTAAGTGATGATACTGATGTGGAAGTTACTTCTGAGGTAAAAGCTGTTTTGCCGTGGCCAGTTTTTTGTGCATTGCAGAATGTCATTTTTTTCCTGTTTCTGTCTGCTTTTCCTGGTTACTAAGATGTGTTAGGTTCTTTACATTTTATTTTCAGAAGTTTTAATTGGAATTTGAGAAGATAAAGAATAATTTGATCTAATATTTTTTTTTTACTTTGGAAAAAGATGATCAATATCTCTGTTCCTGCTAACAAAACTCTGGACAGGGCATGGAGGATGGTTTGATAGGAACCACTTGCTGTGAAGCATGAGGAACTTCTTTTAAATCCCCAGAACCCATGGAGAGCAGGCTTGGGAGTACATGGCTGTAATCCTGGTGCTCCTGTGGCAACAAAGAAGGTGGAGAATTCCCGGAGGCTTCCAAGCCATTTAGCCTGGCATATGCAGTAACAAATGACAGGGACCTTGTTTCAGTCAGTGCAGGTGAAGAACCATACCTGAAGTTCTCCTCTGACCTCCACCAGCATGCTGTGGTACACTTGTGGCTCAGTAGGCAAAGGTGCTTGCTGCCAAACCTTAACCTAACCCCTTGAGTTTGATCCTTTGACCCACAATATACACACAAACATACACATATGCAAAAAACCCACAATGTAGTAACAGCACAAATTCTTTGGTTATCCAGCAGGATTGATACAGAGTTGTTCAGAGTAGTCTTCCATTACTTTCCCTACTTGAGCAACTTTCTTATCTAAGGACAGATCTATGAGTTAATGTAGAAAAACAATTTACCAGCATATGTTAAAAAGATGCAAATGAGCTGGCCAGTGGTGGTGCCCTCAAGAAGCAGAAGCAGGTAGATCTCTTTGAGTTCTAGGTCAGTCTGTTCTATAGAGCAAGTTCTATGATCGCCAGAGCTACACAGAGAGACCATGTAGAAATACCAAACAACAACAACAACAAAAACCCACTGCAAATGAAACAAGCTTAGTTTCCATAAAGTTCATATAAATGGAGGGTTACTAAAGAAGAGTTGGTAATTCAGCTTTTAAGTTTGTTACCAAGTGACAAATCTAAACCAAAGTGTATACTTTGAGTTTTTTCTTCATCTTTTTTTTAACTCAGGTTTCCTCTGTGGATTACTCACTATGGAAACAGGTGATAGGAATTCAATAAAAAGGTTATTTTACGCCAGGCGGTGGTGGTGCACGCCTTTAATCCCAGCACTTGGGAGGCAGAGGCAGGAGGATTTCTGAGTTCAAGGCCAGCCTGGTCTACAGAGTGAGTTCCAGGACAGCCAGGGCTACACAGAGAAACCCTGTCTCGAAAAACCTAAAAAAAAAAAAGGTTATTTAACATTTTCCTGCTTGGGATATAACTCTAGGTTGTCCCTGGTGTTGATTCTCACCCTCTGTCCATCCCAACTGGTATAGACTATTGTGGTAATTCTTTGCAAAGATAAGTGGATCATAATTGGTCTGATAAATGTTCTTGACCATGATACAAAGAGCTAGGTAAATGTTCTCATCTTAACTAGACTTCTTTGGCACTTGGGCACAGAAAAGCTATTAAGCGAATAGATGGTATGTCATAAAAAAAAGCCATTAGATTTAATAAGCCCTGTTATATACTATTAAAAAGTGATTCAATTAAACTAGCAAACTATCAGTTATGAGTTCCAAATTATTATAATGTCCTTTTGAATACTTATATAGTATTTCAGACAAGATTGAAGGGCCTACACTGGTGAGTGTTGTAGTTTGACAAATGCTGTATGTCTCTTGCCTCGAACTCTAGACAGTTGAGTCATGACCTCTGCACCTGCAGTGCTTGGCCTTTGTCCTGTGCATCTGCTATTTTTCTATTGTTCTGATAAAACCATGACAAAGGCAACTTACAAAGAGAGCATTTAATTACACCTACAGTTCTAGGTGGTTAGAGCCCATGATAGCAGAATGAAAGCACACTGGCTTTCTCACATAACAAACTGCAAGCAAGAAGCAGAGAGCTCATTGGGGAGACAGGGAGGCTTTTGGAACCTCAGGCCGGCTCCCAGTTATACCTCTTCCAATAAGGCCATGTCTTAGTCAGTGTTCTATTGCTCTGAAGAGACACCATGACCAAGACAACTCTTGTCAAAGAAAACATTTAATTGGAGCTTGCTTGTAGTTTCAGAGGTTTAGTCCATTCTCAACATGGCAGGGAGCATGGTGGCATGCAGGCAGATGTGGTGCTGGAGAAGTAATTCAGAGTTCTAGATCTGGATTCTCAGGCAACAGGAGAGGGCCATTGGACCTGGCTTGGGGTTTTGAAAACCTCAAAGCCCACTTACTTCCTCCAACAAGGCTACACCTCCTAATTCTTTGAAATAGTGCCACTCCCTAGTAAGCAAGCATTCAAATCTGTGAACCTTTGAGGGCCATTCTCACTCAACTCAAACCAACACAGGTCATAACTCCTAATTGTTCACCAACCGGGGACCAAGTATTCAAGTGCTAGAGATTTGTAGGGGATCACTACCACATCCTGAAAGAAATGCAGTCTGCCTGTTACCAAATCATTGATTCTGTCAAAAGTAGGCAATTCCAGATAACTACCTTGTAAGTAAGCAAGGCATTTAAATTTCATTAAGCTGTAGCAGTGTCTTTTTTTTTTAAACCTGTTTTGTCTGTTTATTGATTGATTGTATATGTGTGTCCTATCTGCATGTACACCTGCATGCCAGAAAAGGGCATCAGGTTCCATTACAGATGGTTGTGAGCCACCATGTGGTTGCTGGGAATTGAACTCAGGACCTCTGGAAGAGCAGTCAGTGCTCTCAGCTGCTATAGGCTGTTATAGAGCATATAGGCTGTTCTTACAAAGATTTTCTTCCTTGTGACTATGAAATTTGTTCAGGTCTCAGGTTGGACCACTGGTATGGGATGTCTTGACACTTAATGAAATGTGCCTATCTTTTTTTAAAATTTTTTATTTTGTTGTTGTTATTGTGGGGATGGTGAACACACATTTGTCTCAGCATCTTCTATACCATAGTTGTAATTGGCCTCGCTTAACCTCTTATAGGATGAGTGGCAGTGTACGGAATGCAAGAAGTTTAATTCTCCAAGCAAGAGGTACTGTTTTCGTTGCTGGGCCTTGAGGAAGGATTGGTATTCGGATTGTTCTAAATTAACTCATTCTCTTTCTACATCTAATATCACTGCCATACCTGAAAAGAAGGACAATGAAGGAATCGATGTCCCTGATTGTAGGAGAACCATTTCAGCTCCTGTTGTTAGGCCTAAAGATGGATATTTAAAGGAGGAAAAGCCCAGGTTCGACCCTTGCAACTCAGTGGAATTTTTGGATTTGGCTCATAGTTCTGAAAGCCAAGAGATCATCTCAAGCACGAGAGAACAATCTGATATTTTTTCAGAGCAGAAAACGGAAACAGAAAGTATGGAAGATTTCCAGAATGTCTTGAAGCCGTGTAGCTTATGTGAAAAAAGGCCTCGGGACGGGAACATTATTCATGGGAAGACAAGCCATCTGACAACATGTTTCCACTGTGCCAGGAGACTGAAGAAGTCTGGGGCTTCATGTCCTGCTTGTAAGAAAGAGATTCAGTTGGTTATTAAAGTTTTTATAGCATAGTTGAGTCAGTTGCAGAGAATACATTGAGGACCAGGTCATTTATCAAAAATCAGTATTCCTAGAGGCAGGGGCAGAAGATCACCAATTTTGATGCCACTCTGGGCCATATAATGAGACCTTAGTCTTAAAAGGATCAGTATTGAGCATCTTTTATAAATGTGACCCATTGCATGTGTTTATTTATATAAGCATCTATGGAATTTTAGATTAGTTTTGAGGGTTTCATTAATGAGAAGATACTTCTATCACTTTGTTCTCCTTCCAAATTGTAAACCCAAGAGGGAATAATGCCAATGCAGACATAGCAATGCATTCTTTTATTCACTTCAAAATTGTTGCAAGAATAATACATTAGTTGATTTATTCTGTACCCTGCTGTTATGTAATGTTCTTAAGGCATCAAAGTCTAAACCAGTTATTAAAAAAAAAATACTAACTAGGGCTAATACTGAAGAGAACAAATCTGATCAGTCGCTGATTGTGTAGCCAACAATAACCTTAAACTCCTGATCCCCCTGTTTCTACCACCTCTGTACCTCTACTTACAGGCTGCCCCACCATGCCCATCTGAAATCTTTTAGCTTTAGATCAAATAACGCAGGTGTACATCTCTTCACAGCCTTATTAGTTACCAGTTCTAAAAAGAAAAGGTACAGACTTTGTAGCCAACACTTTGCATTGTCTCTCAGGAGCTGGCTAGGTGTTTTGTATTTTGTGCTCTGGAGTTCACATTCTAAGGCCGTGGCCTATGATAGGGCTTGAACAAGTGGAGAGAAGGGATGTCGTAGCTAGCTGTGAAAGGGAGGGAACCAAATTGATCGGTTCTGCTTAGTCATTTTAGACCACATCAATTTAGTATAAGATCTTCAAACTGAATCCCTTATACCTGTTCTGTGTCCACTGAACCCATGGGGTCCATCTTGATGTTTCTCCAGGGATATGAATACATCATTTTAAAGACCAAGTCCCTAGAACTATTGAACTTGAGGGCAATCTAGCTGTCTTGGCTTTTCCTATGGCTCCTGCTATTAGAAAGGAGGAGATGCATGGTATTCAGTCCCGTTATGTCATTATGTCCCTGCTGGACTGGGACCACTGGGGCTCCTGTAATTACTACTAAGTGGAGCTATGTTAGCTTATGTTCTTGTATTGACCCCATGGTCCCTGTCTGTCCCATGCTTTACCAGTAGACCCAACTTTACCAAATTCCCACTGGATTAGTTATTATAGTTTACTCTTTAATTGCTGTGACAAAGCACCAATGCAAAATATAGAAGAAAGTATTTAACTGGGTTTGCCTTTGAGAGGTTAGAATTCATGGTTGCAGGAACAGCAAGAGCTTACATCTTGATCTGCAAGTAGAATGCAGAGAAAGAGAGAGCTCTGGGAAACCCCAGGACCTGTCCCCCAGTGTTGTACTTGATCTACCGTTTCCACCAACTGGGGGCCAAGTATTCAAACTTAAGAGCCTATGGTTTATATTCTCATGTAAATCACCACATTCCACTCCTAGTTACCATAGGCTCGTGGCCATATTACAATGCAAAATGCCTAACCTCAAAACTACTCAGTCTTTTTTTACTCTTGACATAATTTAAAAGTCAAGTGAGAGTCCCGTCTGAACTCAAAGACTGTAACCCCCTGAAAAAGCAAAAAAGCAATTGTACATTTTTAACATACAGTGACATAGAATATGCATTATTATTCCAAAAAGTTATATTTCAGAAGTAGTGAGAAAATACTGGACTAAAGCTAGGCTGAAACCCAGCATGGCAAATTACAACTCCATGTCTGGTGTCAAAAAGTTTAGAGTTACCTTTTTGGATTTGTTGACTGCAACATACTTTGTGTGATTCCATTTCTTGTATGCAGCTCTCCCTGGCAGATAGATAACACGTGGATCTGACACCTCTAACACTCACAGGCTCCAGTGCACTCAGGCCTCACTTTCACAGCTTCTTGCACAGACTCCCCTGCAACCCACTGTGTGACATTAGTGATCCCTTAACTGTGGTGGAAGGTTTCACAGCCCTTTACTCATGTACCCTTCATGAATCTAAAGCCAGACGGCATTGCCAGCTTCTGTGGGCTGGAGCCTGACCTTGAGTCACTCCCATCAGGGTTCATGTGCTGTTGCCTTTTAGGGGCAGAGAATTCCTTAGGCCTTTTCCTTATATAAGTTGGAAGTTTAACTGGGCAGGGTTTTATCCTGGGCATCCCTCTCTTTATCTGGCTTCTCCTTAATCTCTATCTCTGTGAGTATGAGCCTTGGCTCCAGCATTAACTTTCCCGCTGCTCTTTCCTTTTTTATTGTAGTTCTGCATGAAAAGAATTACTAATTACTGTGCTGCAGAGCCAGTATTAGGCTTTTTGGAAATCTCCTCTATCAAATAAATTAGTCTGTTACTTTTCACTTCAGGCTTAGGCAAATTCTTAGGACAAGGGTAGAAGACAGTCACATTTTTTGCCGAAACATAAGAAGTTTTTAGCCAGTTGCTAATAATTGTTGTGCCCTGCAGCCTCTTGATGTAGGCTTCTACAGATGGCACTCTGAGCACTCCTGTCTTCTAGGCTTCTGCTGGGCCCAGTAAGCTCTGCTTACAGCCTTGAGCCCTTTGTTTTAGTCCAGAGTCCCAGAGTCTTCCACATTCCTCCAAAAAACCACATGGTCAGGTCTTTCACAGCAAAGGTCCACTTCCTGGTACCAGCTTCTGTGTCTTGGCTACTCCTCAATTGCTGTGACAAAACACCCGACCAAGGCAGAATATACAAGAAAGCATTTATTGGGTTTATAGTTTCAGAGGGTTTTAGTTTGTGATCGAACTGTTGAGAGCTTACATCTTGATCTGCAAGTAGGAGGCAGAGAGAGAAGCCTGGGAATGGAATGGACTTTTGAAACCTCAAAGCCTTCACCTTATGACACACCTCCCAACAAAGCCACATCTCCTAATCCTTTCCAAATAGTTGCTCCAACTGGAGACCAAATATTCCAACATGAGGGAGGGGAGCATTCTCATTCAAACCACCAGTTTGCCGAGGAGCTCTTTCCTAGCCGTGGCTTGTCAGTGCTCCCAGTTGATAATTTCACCAGTTGTAGCAAACTTAAGTAGGATTTGCCTTTCCTCAGTGGAAAGTTCTTGCTATGATGGATCTTCTCCTTGTATTGAGAATCCTGTAGCTCTTGTTGGGCTTGATGTGTGTGTTCTTTGGGGGACTGATAACAGCCGTGTATATCCACATCTCCATGGTAGTGAGAAAAAAGTAGCTTAGAGGTAATCATAGGTGTCCCTACTTGAGAATAGGCTATGATATATCTAACCCTGGACTCAAGTCATTTCCTAGACATGGTCCTCCTGGGTAGAATTGGGTCATTAAGATGTTTAACTCCAAGCACTACATTCAAAATAGGATACATTATATAGTATGTCAGTTTCATTCTAATGCTTCTCTTAGTCCTTTGGGGCAGAGTCTTGCTGTTTCACCATGACTGGCCTGGGCTTTACCCTATATCTCAGACTGGCCTCAGCTTTGCAGTAACCTTCCTGCTTTTGCCTCTTGAGTGGTAGAATTTTAGGCATGTAATGACTAAATTTCTTATTTTGCTTTTCATTTAAATTAATTTTTGTTATGCTATCTTGGACAAAAAGTGTAGAATAGAGATGATGGATTATTAGGAGAGTCTCTAGGGTCTCACTGTTAATGTGTTCTTCACAGGGGACCTCACGGTCATTGATGTGCTTCTATTCTCTACTGTGTCAGATGAAAAATTCAGAGCAAGGCTTCACACAGGTGTTAACTGCCTCCCTAACCCATTTAGGATGTAGTAGATTTATGATTGCGGGCTGGAACTGATAGATTAGAGCAGCCAGACTGGCCTCTTACCTGCCACAAAATTGTATAATAGATCATTGTACTGCCAAGCATTTGTGACTGTGTGGATATGTATTCATTGTTTATGTATATTTAGATGTATGTGATACTTTGCATGGTTTGAAAGAACTTATTCTGAAAGCCAGGATCATTTGTAATTTTTGTGTTCAATGTAATGTTGGGGCCTTTGAAAAGTTGATTGAGAAATTGAGGAACATTCCCAGTTCTCTAATGTTACCTGTTTAGATCTCTTTAGCAAGAAAGACACTTTTGGATCAGCTGTTTGGCTGTTTTGTTTTGCTATGTTCCCATGATATTCTGTGAACCTCCATGGCTTTAGATACTGTGACTGTTATTTTCCCTTTAGCCCAAATTGTTGATTCAGTCTAAAGAATTCTATTTTTAGATGCTTCTTAACATTCATGCATGTGCACACTATTTAGATTGATGCTACCTTTGCTAAAAATGTCTTAAGATAAAGAAATAGCTGTTTAGAAACTGCACTTCAAAGGTAAAGAAACCTGGAAGCTGTCCTCTGTGCCAAAAGTAAAGTGTACAATGTTTACAGATGGGTGGAATTTTGCACTGCCATAGGGAACGAGGTGAACTTATGTCACCAGATTCCTTAGATTTATGAGTAGATAGTTGCAGTTAAGCTTATGAGAGGAACTGTTGAGCCCCCTAAGGTTAAGCTGGTAATGAGTACCTGAGACAGGTGGTTGATTAAAGTGACTCCCTAGACCTGTCTTGGGTCTTTCTGTTGACAGTTCTTCATGGTTTGCAGATACTGTATGCTTTCTTTAGAGGAGCTGCCAGCTCTCCCTCTTGTAAAAGACTGTCTTGTAGACATTTTGAGATCTTTGGATGTAATGTGCAATCCCAGGTAATGCCATTATTGGTGAATGTAGCATTGCTAAACTCTTATTGTAAATTATTTCTTATCTTCTCTTGATAGCCTTAGTTTTGTTTTTTGGATTTTTTGTTTGTTTTGTTTTTGAGACAGAGTCTCGCTATTTGGTTGACCTAGAACTTGCTTTATGACTAGGCTGTCCCCAAACTCACAGAGATCTGCCTGTCTCTGCCTTTCTGTCACCACGCCCATCCTCAGTAGCCTTTTGAATGACTGATGTTACAGAACATGATCTCACATCCATGGTGCTGCTTCCCTGTTTATGTGTCTTTGCATAGGCACCTCCTTCAGTCCTGTCTAGGAGCACAACACAGCAGAACTCCAGTTTCTTAAGCTGGAGGAGTCAGAGATAAGTTAAGAGAGCAAGTAGTTTCTTCAGTGGTTTTAGAGCTTGCCAGATGCTTTACTGAAGATCATCATTGTGTTGAAACACTTGAGGGCCAATATGAGCATTTAATTTGTTACCCAAAGACGCTTTGTATTTTTAAACAGCAAGTACTTTGATGTGTGTAGACATTTCCCTTTGTTCTCCCTCCTTCCCTCCCTCCCCATTGCTTTTATGTTCTCCTATTTCTGAGTTAGCTGCATTTGGACGTTGCTTTTATGCCAGGCTGTCACTCTGGGTGTTTAGAAGTACAGTGCACTTATGTAGGGTCCTTCTTTGGCCTGTCCT